TTTACAAAAGCTCTAGCTTCAAAAGCTTCATTTACAGAACTCTAGCTTCAAAAGCTTCATTTACAAAAGCTCTAGCTTCAAAAACTTCATTTACAGAGCTCCAGCTTCAAAGCTTCACTTGCAAAGCTTCATTTACAGAGCTCTAGCTTCAAAGCTTCACTTGCAAAGCTTCACCTACAAAGCTTCAGTGCAGGGTATACAAATACTGCCTTCGAACAACCGCCACTTCGGCCCACACATGGATTCAATCTGAAGTCTCTAGCCAATAGACTCTATTGACCGAAGACTTGGGGGACTACATTATGTACCATATATTGGGCCTCAACTGGGCCTCATGAAAAATACAAAATACTTGGGGGACTTAGCCCATCACCTATGTATTGAGGAGTGAGCCCTTATTTTATAAAAGGGACTCCCTCACTTTCATTAGAAAGCACTCATGAAAAATACTTGGGGGACTCTAGCCCATCATTTATGTATTGAGGAGCGAGCCCTTATTCTATAAAAGGGACTCCCTCACCATCATTAGAGAGCATCAACTCTAGCCCATCATGCATGTATTGAGGAGTGAGCCCTTATTCTATAAAATGGACTCCCTCACCTTCAACGCCACAAGCCAAGCCAACCAAGGCAACGTAAGCCACGAGCCGAGCAGCCTCGCAGCATGTGCTATTTCTAGTTGAGCATCATTTCAGATTGAGCACCACCTCATATCGAGTATCAGTTCAAGACGACATCTAGTTACTTCGGCCCACACATGGACTGAATTTCAAGTCTCCAACCAAAAGACTTTATTGACTGAAGACTTGGGGGACTATTGTTTATACCATATTTAGGGTATTCGTATTTAGATCTTGTACAAATACTCGGGGGACTTAAATGTAATTATGTAATAAAGGAATGGGCAAATATGTAATAAGTGAGGAGCCCTTATTCTATAAAATGGACTTCTCACCCTCACAATTGAGGGAGAGCCTCCTCACCCCCAGAGGCCTCACTCTCATCTCACAAACTCCCTCACATTCAGAGAGCTCACTCTCACATTACAGAGCTCTCACCCTCAAAAAAGCTCTCATCTTCTCACAAACAGAGAAATACAATATTAGCGTGGACGTAGCCCAAACATTGGGGTGAACCACGATACATCTTGTGTTATTTACATTTCTTGCGGATTCACGGTCGGATTTACGTTGTTCCAAGACCTCCGGTTTTGTGCATCAACAGGGATTACCATGTTTCTTCATTGGCGTAACCCAATGTCGTACAGCTTTACCTTCGGGTGATGGACATGTATTGCCTTCGGGCGAATGAGGAGTGAGATATTTATGCCATACCCTCAACTTCACTAGCAAAACTAGTGTCGGACAACTTCATTAGCCATGGCTAGTGTTGGTATGTGATGTTATATATTTCTTTTTTGGAGTAACCAAGAGTCGTACAGCTTCACCTTTGGGTGATGGGGCCTACCATGTTACTTCACTGGCATAACCCAGTGTCGTACAACTTCACCTTCGGGTGATGGACATGTATTGCCTTCGGGCGACTATAATACCCCTAGAGAGTACAATATTGATGTGATTTACATAGGTTTTACGGATTTGCCTTCAAGCGACTATATTATCATTTCTGAGCATGGTTTTATACGTACTGATTTTATGAACGTTTTCATGGCATGTAGAGTTTTCGGAAACTACTATGTAGTATTATATATATATATATATGCGTTTTCAAAACAGGGGGTTAGTATGTTCATAAAGAAAATTGTTTTCCTGTTATTAGTATTATTATAAACTTTGGTCCACTCACCTTTTATGTTTTTGCGCCCCTCAGGAGTTAGAATTAAGGCACATGATCTTGGCGTCAAAGCACGTCCACATAGGTATATTCGAGTCTTCTCAGTGTATGATTCTTCCCTTCGTTCATAACTTTTTTATTATAATTCTTTCATATTATTCTTATTTAGTTGTATGCTCTGAACACGTTTTTGCATTAGCATTTTCGTTCTGATTACATATTTTATTCGTCGGCATTTTAAAAATGGTTTCGTCACCTTCGGGTATTAGCCAGCATGTGCCCATCCTGGTAGTAAAGAAATATCGAGATCGAGATGTGGCACGACCAATGCATTTTAGACCCTTGGATGGATGCAAGTATTTTCCTTTACACAAACTATGCATCAATGTTGTTGACATATTGCTTGATGGTTATTTACAAACTATCTATACTTTTTGTAAGTAACAAGTTGAATTATAAGGGTTATATGGTGAATTTAGATGGTTCATCGTGAGTTTGTTAATTAGTACAACATTGTTTGTTTGTTCAATTATATGGATGACTAAATCATATTTTCTTTGGTTGATATTCTATATATATGATCTTTAAACATAAGCGGCTCCGATTACAATATTTATAAGGTCAAAATACGTTAGTCACAAAAAGTGAATGCGATGCATTATATAAAATGGATGCAAGTATTTTCCTTCACAAAATTATCCATTAATGGTATAGACATATTCGTTGATGGTTATTTACAAACTATTGATATATCAAAGCATTATGGTAGAGAGACTAACTATTTAGATTGAATATTGTAAAACAATGACATGGTTATTGATGATTAAATTATGACTTTAATATTAATTAACGTGTTTATTTCTCATTAATATCACATTACATAATTTGTAAATTTAGTCTACAAATTTGATTTACCCAACATTATTCTATATAAAAAACAGAAACTGCAATGTGAAAAAGAAAATGCAAATATTGTAGCAGCAGGGCAATGTAGTCAACCTGATTGACAAAGAGGCATACGGACACATCGAAACCCACACAACAAAGAAAAAAAGTAGTCATCAGATTCATAGTAAAAAAAAAAAGAAACACTGTTACACTGACCGAGACTGTCTAAATTCACTAAAATTCCCGAATTGCATGACAAATGATGCTATCTTTATGACGTCGATGTTTGATTCTTATCCGTCCACTGAACATCTTATATACAAATCCAACCCAACCCAACCCATTGATCATCAATCCAAGAATATGAATCAAAAGAATAAAAACGGCTGCTTTCCAAAATATATAACAAATTGGGCCAAATTTGAACTTGTACTATGCGATTGCAGCCTTACACGGGCAGGACTTGGAGTCCCCTGGGCCTCACTTGGCGGACTGAATGGTGGCGCCGCTGTTGTAGCAGGCAGAGGCGGCGGAAAAGATGGCGTATTGGAAGTTGGGCTAGGCGGAGGTAGACTGAGAATTGATGTTGGCGGAGGTGGGCTTAGAATTGATGTCGGCGGAGTTGGAGGAGGCGGAGTTGAGATTGATGTCGGCGGAGACGAGGTCAAATCTGGGTTTGCATGTATTGCATATTTCAGGAATGGAGCATGATTTAGGGGTGTGCTATCCACACACCCCTTTTTACTTCTCACACACCCTTTGTTAATTTCTGTCTATTGATCTTCTTCAATTCATCTGATCCGACGGCCGAAAATTATAAGGGTGTGTGAGAAGTAAAAAACGGTGTGTGGATATCACACTCCATGATTTATAATATGCTTTGCGGATTTTTATATTTATGATTTACAGAGAAATTATGATTTATTTAAATTGCTTTTACGAGATAATTACGATTTATCAAATTTATGTTTTACGAAAGGTTTATAAATTATTGGATTTTCGTAGATGAAATTCTATGGATTTGTGGATACGATTTATTTACGGAACATGAGTTATGATGGAGTTATGAGATGAGACTTTGAGCTTTTGAGCTCTGAATTTGAGATGAGATTTTGAGATATGTTTTCGGTACTTATCTAGCGGGTTATCATACAACACATCAACACAACACGGGTATGTAGACGTCTATGACCATAGGACACAGTTGAGGATGTCTATGTATATATTTCTTCTCCGGTGTAACCCGGAGTCGTACAACTTCACCTTTGGGTGATGGGGACTACCATGTTTCTTCACTGGTGTAACCCAATGTTATACAGCTTCACCTTCGGGTGATGGACAAGTATTGCCTTCGGGCGAATGAGGAGTGAGATATTTATGCCATACCCTCAACTTCACTGGCAAAACCAGTGTCGGACAGCTCCACTAGCCACAGCTAGTGTCGGTGTGTGATGTTATATATTTCTTTTCTGGCATAACCCAGAGTCGTACAGCTTCACCTTTGGGTGATGGGGCCTACCATGTTTCTTCATTGGCATAACCCAGTGTCATATAGCTTCATTTTCGGGTAATGGACATGTACTGCCTTCGGGCAACTATGATACCCTTAGAGAGTACAACATTGATATGATTTACGGAGGTTTTACGGATTTGCCTTCAGGCGGCTATATTATCATTTCTGAGCATGGTTTTATACGTACTGATTTTATGAACGTTTTCATGGCCTGTAGGGTTTTTGGAAATTACTATGTAGTATTATATATATATATGCGTTTTCAAAACAGGGGGTTAGTATGTTCGTAAATAAAATGGTTTTCCTATCATTAGTATTATTATAAACTTTGGTCTACTCACGTTACATAATTTGTAAATTTAGTCCAAAAATTTGATTTACCCAACATTACCCTATATAAAAAACAGAAACTGCAATGTGAAAAAAAAAATCCAAATATTGTAGCAGTAGGGCAACGTAGTCAACCTGATTGACAAAAAGGCATACGGAGACATCGAAACCCACACAAGAAAGAAAAAAAGTAGTCATCAGATTCATAGTAAAAAAAAGAAACACTGTTACACTGACCGAGACTGTCTAAATTCACTAAAATTCTCGAATTGCATGACAAATGATGCTATCTTGTGATCGATATGACGTCGATGTTTGATTCTTATCCGTCCACTAAACATCTTATATACAAATCCAACCCAACCCAACCCATTGATCATCAATCCAAGAATATGAATCAAAAGAATAAAAACGGCTGCTTTCCAAAATATATAACAAATTGGGCCAAATTTGAACTTGTACTATGAGATTGCAGCTAAACACGGGCAGGACTTGAAGTCACCTGGGCCTCACTTGGCGGACTGAATGGCGGCGCCGCCGTTGTAGCCGGCGGAGGCGGCGGAAAAGATGGCGGATTGGAAGTTGGGTTAGGCGGCGGTGGACTCAGAATTGATGTCGGCGGAGGTGGGCTTAGAATTGATGTCGGCGGAGTTGGAGGAGGCGGGGTTGAGATTGATGTCGGCGGAGACGGGGTCAAATCTGGGTTAGGCGGAGGAGGCGGGTTGAAATTGGGGTTAGGTGGGCTGGGCTGGGTCAGAGTTGGATCGGAATTTGGTGGGATGGGCTGGTTCGAACCGGAATTTGGGTTAGGGAATTGAATTGGTGGGGAGGAGAGAGGGCGGCAGGAATACGAATCGGCGGAGCATTTGTGGGATTTTTGGAAGCCGTGGCGGAGAACCCCAAATCCCAAAACCAGCCCAAGTACCACCAGCACTGTCACCACAAAAATGAAGATCTTTGTTGCTTTCCCCACATAGCACATTTTGGTTTGCTGGGTTTGAGTTCAGACAGAATGGCGGTGGTGGTGGGATTTGCTGGGTGTTTTGCGTCGTCTTCTTTTCATGGCTTAGAAGGCGGAGGGAGAGAGTGAGGGTAGTGAAGGTGTGTGGGTATTTTTGGAGTTTTAAGGATTGGGAATTTGGGAGAAAGAAGTAATTGTGGCCACGTGAAGACCAATTTAGGGTAAATTGGAAAGTGGAAAGCATATGGGTAAAGGCATGGTTTTATCGTCATCGAGCGTGTCGTACTAATAATATAAAGGCAAGTGTTATTAACACAGGATGTCATTATTATTTTATTAATAACCAATAAGGATGTAACTTACATTGTTCTCGGAGATTAGAGGGTCAGCTGATCTAATTTAACATTTTTTATCGTTCGAGAATTTGAGTTATTAGAACGCATTTCACATGAAGTTATACCAGTGTAGGATAATATTTTAGGCTTTATACTTTTGCGGATAATATTTTATTTTAATAGAACAACTTATATGGTGCGGTTTGGAACGATAATCTACTTGAGTACACCGTTATAGTTACGACTGGTATCATGTAAGTTTTACTTGAATGACATTGTTGTAGTATCTTTGCTCTAATAGGGGTATTTTAGGTGAGGAGTAATTAATATCTGTAATAGTAGGGGCATCAATAAAGTGAAGCCGTTGAAGAGGATATATTGGAAGTCGAGCCACCAAGCCTGTCTGCCTGCCAGAGTGCCATGTCATTCCCCTTGGGATGGAGCTGGATGGATGGAAAAGGATCTCGCCGGATCATTTTCTTGAAATCATGTAATCATCATCGTTTATCATATATCGTGCAGTCAATTTTCGTTAAATACTATTTATATTTAATTTAAAATTTAAAATAATTTTTTATCGCACAATATACGGTAAACGGTCATGATCACGGGATCTCTTACATTTCCAAGAAAAGAATCCTCTGAGCTGGATCACTTGATTTTAACAACTTACCCTCGGTTTCCTCCTATTTACAATCTTGTCCTATGGGCTCCATTGCTTTTGAAGCCTTTTAGTTGCGAGCCTCTAGATTTGGTTTGGCTAACTTGGATCTTGGATTTATGATAGCTAAGCTCAATATGTCCAAACCATTGATTCACGTCACAATTAACAAGTAACACATTTGATTTAGTGGTACTTGTCTCCATTTCATTGAGGATGTATCCGGCTTGATTCACTTGAATGTATGGCCGAAGAATATTTATGTTGAGTTTGATAACTAGTCGTGACTAAGAGCTGCTCTAGAAATATTTTATCTCAAAAACAAGATGAAGCTCACACAACAATTTGGTTAGTTTCTCTTGGCCACCTATGTTACCCTTAACCTCATTGAAGCATTTTTTCAAGCATCTTTCCTTCATAGCCGTCATTCAACGAAACAGCGAAAATGATCGGACAATTTCTTGTGTAGCAATAGTGGGTCGTAGCTAGTTGCTTTGGCTCTTGAGACGCTTTGTCAAGCACGTTGCCGTATGCATTAACGGCAAGTGAAAGGTATGTGGATCTACCAACAGTTGTGACTAACGTATTGGAGTGATGGAGCTTTGTTATGAATAAATATCCTATCATTCGTCAAAAAAACGAAAAAGCATACCACTTTTCAAAGGAATACAATATTTTCTTGTTCGGATGCATTTTTTGTTTCTATCTTTGAACAGATGCTCTCAAGTCCACAAAAAATGGAGAAGACAACAATAAGCATGGCCAGAAAATAATGTGGCCACCGTCTTCTCTTTTCCTCTCCAACCAAAACTCTCTAGAAAATCTTCCATTACCATAACCTATATATCAATGCAGGCAACAAGAAACCAGAGTTTTCATACTACATCACGCTTCATGTCGCACGGACTCTTTTCTGCTCCATAATATTACAGCGTGGTAGCATCGTCGTTACGTATAGTCCCCATGACAACAAGCACAGCTCTCAGTGGTTTGGGAGAGAAAGTAACTGCTTATCACAGTAGGTGCTTCTTCTGCCCGCATGTTCCACTTTCAAACGTGCTCGAGAGTGCAGAGGGAGCAAGTAGAGTATGGAGGCAACGAACCAGTTCAGCCCCAGCTTTCCGCTCCTGCAGTGTAATCCAAAGTCCTCGAGCTGTTGCATCTGAAATTTCCACCACAGAACGAAAGGTAAATGACTTCCTCACAATCTTCTCATCTACAAATTCTTTCATAAAAATCTTAAGGGCTGCAACAAGAGAAGAACTTCCTTATTAAGGGGTTATTGTGACGGTATCTTAAGTCAATAACTCGTGTAAGAAAGTGCGTGGTTGGTTTGAGATACTGCCGCATGGCATAAATAAGTTTTTGTCATGAAACAGACACAAGAAGCATGTGTTTGAAATATTGACCAAACAAAAAAACAATCCATGAGTTTGAATCTTTAAAAAGCCTAGAACATGTGCTGAAAGGAGGGCAAGTTTATGTTTTCACTGTAAGATTAATGATGCTGTAGGTAAGTTCAATGACCTTAATGCTCCTTGTATGATGCATCTATGACCTAGTTTTGTAAAGTTGTTTGAGGGCTATATATGGTATCAGACTCTCAGAGGTGGTCCAAATAGCAGATAAGAATGCAAACAAAATAAGCATGTGGATTTTAGATGATAAATGACCCCCCATTGGGGCTACCAATAATTTGTGCAAAGATAAGGTGCAGCAGAAGAAGTGCTTATCTCTTTTTTTGGTCATCAAGATAGTGATATATGTTCTATAAAAGGCAGCAGGCTGGAGTAGTAAAACTGCATAAACTCCATCGTTTTAGAGAAATCAAACCCTAAAAGATCTTCTCTTACACAACAATGCAGGTGGCAACTTCTCTTAGTTATCAAGAAACGATGCTAAAAAATTATGTGCCGATCTTCGTGATGCTCCCTGTAAGTCATAATTCTTCCTTTCACTAGCATTATGTATGCATTATAGTTTGAAATATAATGATCATCACAAAAAGTTCTAATTTTTCTTTTTGGGTTTGTCTTCGTACCAGTTGGGATTTGTTACGGTTGACAATGTTTTGGAAGACAGAGACAAACTCGTGAAGGATCTGAAGGAGCTATGAGCGGCAGGTGTTGATAGGGTTATGATAGATGTGTGGTGGGGGATCATAGAATCCAAAGGGCCTAAGCAGTATGATTGGAGTGCTTATAGGAGCGTGTTTCAATCAGTTCAAGAATGTAGGAGATGTTGTAACAATCCCCATTTCCAAATGGGTACTTGAGATCGGAGAATCAGACCCCGATATCTTTTATACCAATCTCAAAGGTAACAGGAACCCGGAATACCTCACTCTAGGTGTGGATAACCTGCGTCTCTTTGACGGACGAACTGCTGTGGAGGTAAGGTTCACAAGATTTCAACATGTAAAATGTTCATGCCATCAGCTAGCGTTCATTTTATCAAGGTTACATCGTTAATCGTTCTGTTATACAGATATACAGCGATTACATGAAAAGCTTCAGAGAGAACATGTCGGATTTTCTAGAAACCGGACTTATTATAGACATTGAAGTAGGGCTTGGCCCTGCAGGAGAGCTCAGGTACCCCTCTTATCCGGAAAGTCAAGGATGGGCTTTTCCAGGGATTGGAGAATTTCAGGTGGGACTGATTTATTAATTTGACAATCCTATGGCTTACTGGAAATATTAAGCAGGTTTAAGTTTTAAGCACATTACCTATTCCATATTGCAGTGCTATGACAAGTATCTCCAAGCAGAGTTTAAGGAGGCTGCAACGGTTGCAGGTCATCCTGAATGGGCATTGCCAGTTAACGCCGGAGAATACAATGATACTCCTGAATCCTCAGGGTTCTTCAGATCAAACGGGACGTACGTTACTGAGAAAGGGAAGTTCTTCTTGACTTGGTACTCTAATAAATTACTGATCCATGGTGATCAGATCCTGGATGAAGCCAACAAAGTTTTTGAGGGCTGTAAATTAAAGCTAGCTGCCAAAGTAAATATTCTAATGTCGTAACAAACTCATACTAGCATTACTTACCATCTTAACCCCCATTTTAATCCAAGAGTCTGTGCTTGATTATCGAAGCAGGTATCTGGAATTCACTGGTGGTATGAAGTTGATAATCATGCCGCGGAGCTTACTGCAGGATACTACAACGTGAAAGATAGAGATGGGTACCGACCTATAGCAAGGATGCTGTCAAGGCATCATGCAATTTTGAATTTCACATGTTTAGAGATGAGGAACTCTGAACAAAGTGCTGACGCCAAAAGTGCGCCTCAGGAACTTGTTCAGCAGGTAAAGATCTTGAAATTTATGAAGACCAGCTTTCCTACTTCAGTTTCGTTTCTCGTTGAGAAAATACTGTTTTACTGTTCTCTTCTTGTACAATTCCCTCCATAAAACATGTTAAAATGATTCTCCTGGAAAACCCTACAAAAAATTATCTTTCTTCAGTTTTACAAGTATACAGAATCAGAAAAATGAATTCGATTCTTGATGTCCAGTAACACCCAGGTTCGGAATCAAATATGTATCTTAACGAATTTATACTATTGTCAATGAGAAAAATATGGAAAGTAAAAGCGCATCACTAACAAATAAGAAGGAACAAACAAGTTAAACCGAGGATGCATTGAAAATGGACAACTGCATACTATGACAATCATGTTTTGCAAAATACATGTGCAGGTTTTAAGTGGAGGTTGGAGAGAAAACATAGAAGTTGCCGGAGAAAATGCACTTTCTAGATACGACAGTGTGGCTTATGACCAAATCCTTCTAAATGCTAGACCAAATGGCATCAATAAAGACGGCCAACCAAAATTAAGGATGTACGGGGTGACATTCCTTCGTTTGTCTGATGAACTACTACAAAAGACGAATCTTGATACATTCAAGATATTTGTAAAAAAGATGCATGCTGATCAGGTAAGCAAATCTTTATGTATGTGCCTTAAGGACATGCTCTTTCCTGGTGAAATATGTCATCAGATCCCTCATTTATGCAGGATTACTGTTCAGACCCAGAGAAGTACAATCACCACCTAGGTCCTCTGAAACAGTCGAAACCAGAGATTTCGATTGAAGATCTTCTGGAAGCAACCAAAGCATTGGAGCCATTCCCATGGGATAAAGAAACAGATATGAGTGTCAGTGGTGGAGCTGGTGGACTTGGTGGGCTACTCTCTAATTTGATAAGAAAAATCTTCTCTCTAGTTAAGCGATACAACTGCCAAGCTGGGAGTGAAGCAACCAATAAATTGGCATAGGGTGGCAATGTCAAAACAATTTGAGATGTCTGCTGTTTAAATAAAAGAATCTGTATTTTCCATGGAATGAATGTACAGATAATCTTATGACAGTATCATTCACCAATAATCCCCACAAGAGCAAACTCCATGTCTAAAGTGGTGAAACCTACGGATATCTCACATTATAATCTCTCGATTCATAAGCATAGAGATCATTTTTGTTACTGTGTGGCAATCGCTACATACACGAAGATTCTTGGTTATCCTGATTGTTGTCCCTGGTTGGGTTAATAAGGGCGAAAGCAATCGCAAGTCTCCGCTATGATCCCAAAGCATCTTCTCCTTTACTTCCCTTTAAACGTCATAGAATACTGAAGTGGTGTCAGGCTTGTATCCCAGCTTCCTTGAGCTGCAGATTCAAGTCTTTTAACTTGGCATAAATATATCGTGTCAGTAGGTGTGACTTATCTCAAACCAAAAACCTGTGAACCTTCTTGTCTAACTCCACCAAGCTGTAGCCGGGTGTTTCTTCATTCCCTTCCTTCTCACATTGGCTCTCACTCTTTCCACATCATCCCATCTCTTCTCAGAAGCATAAATGTTGGAAAGGCAAATGTAGCTCCCCACTCCATTTGGGTTCATTTCGGAACTTTTTGTGCTGCAATGTCCGCCAGCTTAACATAACATTCTTGTGTAGCCTGCAAGCAGAAAGAAGTGCAGCCCATGTATCACTGCTAGGTTTTGACTTCCATGGTCTTAATATGCGTCATCTACACGCCCTGCCAACCCCATATCCCTGAACTTCTAGTACATTGCAAGAAGAGCATTAGCCCACATAAATATCCGACTCCAACCCACTAACCACAACCTCCCCATGAACCCTCCTCCCAATTTCCAAAAACCAACAGATTGCCGCACGCCTTGAGAACAAAAGGGTACGTAGAATTGTTCGCTTTCTGTCCAGAACTAAGCATTTCAAGGTACAAAACCAGAGACTTGAACGAACAGCAATTGCAGGCATACCCCTGATCAAGAAATTCCACAGGAACGAGTATTTCAGTATAATGCCATCAAAAATCACCTCCGCCTGCGGCATTTTACCACAGCTTGATTAGAAAGCGGCGAGCTTGGTGCAGAGATAGGTGTTGTTGTTGAGATTTCCTGTGGTGACGGCGACGGCGTGGAGCTGCTGGCCTTTTGGGAAGGATTTGGTTTTGGCGAGGGATTGAAGGTGGTTCCGCATTGCAGGGAAGTGAATGGTGGGCTGAGAGATTGTTGTTTGAGATGGAGAGTGAAGGTGCAGAGAGATTTTTTGAGTAGTTTGTGTGTGTGTGTGTGTGTGTGTGTGTAAATATATTTGAAAAGCTCGTGAAGATGGCCGGCATTTCAGTTTCCTCTCCCTCTTTTGCCTCTCTCATTAAAAAAAGTGAAAAAAAAACCGAAAAGCTTAAAAAAGGATGGAGAAGTGGGGTATCGATCCCCATACCTCTCGCATGCTAAGCGAGCGCTCTACCATCTGAGCTACATCCCCGATTGATTGTTTAATGAACAACTCTTATTATAACGTACTATTGGACTTGTTTAAATGCTCGTTTGTGGTTTTGGATTGGTTTGACTTGGATAACCCACTAGATTCAGTGAATATTGAATGAAAATATAAATTTCAATTTTTATATTTTATCTAGGTGAAGATAAAAGATAGAGAAGTCATGAAGAAAACTTGTCCCTCAATTCCCACTATTTTGTGGGGATTAATTAGGATAAATAATTTTTCGGCATGATTTCTCTATCATCTACCTTTACTTGGACAAATATGAAAGTTGATATCCATATTTTCATTTAACATTCATTTAGTTTAGTGAGTTATACAATCCTAAGCAACAACGAGACCTACAAGTACAAGTCCAGAGTGAAAACAATTTTAAATAGATTTTAGTTTTATAGACATATGCTTAGTCCAATATTACGCTTCTTAAAATGTTATCATTCACACATGCATATGTAAACGATAGATGTTTGATAGTATGCTAAATGCAATATTACACTTCTTAAAAGGGCAAATTAGCATGAATGATCGATCATTTAGTTGCAGAACTGATCAGTTTTTAGTAACGACGACATATTAGTCATATATCGATGACTCAACGATGACATAACAACCACATAACGATCCTAAATCTAATATAATGACAGATATAATAAACACTGATCATTTTTGCAACCAAATATCTAAAACTGATCATTCCTGCTAATTACCCTTATTACTACACAAAAAATGAATAAAGACTTGCTTCAATTGTACAAATAATTTTTTTTTGTTTTTGGGTGAATGATTGATTTCATTGAACCCAAATCAAGGGGTACAGGTACATCTTCTACTACAAAGACCTCCAACCAAGTCGGAACGTCTTCTATCCATACTGTATCCCTACTACAAGTCTACAACTTAAAAAGCATCGTTTGCTAGCTGATGAGCAACATTGTTACATGTTATATATGTATACGCATGACAATCAAATATTTGTATATAAACAGCCAAAACTTCTACGCACTTCAGAGAAGCAGTAGTGCAGAGAGGCAAGATAATTGCGACTACCATCGTAACGTTTTTAAACGAGGGGGGGGATTCAAACTCAAGTGCTAAGAAAATGAGTTCCTTAAATGTTCTTTAAACAACAATGAAATATAAGAGTTTGTAACTCAATTGATTAATATTATTTATCACTTAACTCGAGAGCTTAAGTTCAAATTTTGCCCTCTACTCTAATAAAAAAACGTGGAAGCTAAATTTAGGATAAAAATATGGAAAGTATTAGATAAGGAAAAAAAATTAGAAAAACAAAAAGTTGATTGAAGGCAAGTATTGTAAAAGCCAGAAAGGAGGTCAAGAGACAAATGACCAAAATAAGTCTAAAGACAATCATGGGCGTCCCACATTGTTCTCCTCACGTCTTATATTACGCGTCATTCTCTTTCTCTCTTCTCCTAAACCCCCGAAAAACAAGAAACATGCCGGCGAACAAAAATCTAAACACAAAAATATTATTAAAAAAAATCCAAATTAGCTAAAATCCTTCTGGGGTTGAATTAGTTTACAGCCCCCCATGACTTTATGTTTTGATTCATCTTTTTTATTGCATTTATCAATGGCGGTCGTGAACACAACAATGCTCTGACGTATCAGAAAGTATAAATTTATTTTTCAGACATTGTTGTTTTTGCATGTTCATATCTCCACGTTTAAATCTTCAACGTCTCGGATTTTCCGATCGAGATGGTTTAAAAAATTGTGGGTTCTTCTCGGAGCTGAGAAATCTGACGTGGGTTGTCGTCAAAATTGAAGATTTTTAATCACTTTGGGAGGAGGAGCAGAAGCGCGCGGCCGCCATTGTTGCAGATGGAGCTTGGAGGCTGGTATTTTATTTTTTCAATTTGGAAACGTTTCGTTTCTGTTTTGTTGGAGGGAAAATTGGAGGATTGTGCCACAAGTTCGATGAAATGAGAAGGAAAATATATGGACGGGATGGAAATGAGAAGAGACGGTTATGCGGTTGTTTTTGTGATTCTGCTTTGTGCATTGGTGATAGGGGCGTCGGAGGGGGTGAGGAGGACTAAAGAAACGTTTCCCGGCAATGGTGGCGATTGGCTTTCGGAGGAGATAGACGAAGACATGGTATGGAATTACCCTCTAAATTATTTTTTGTGCTGATTATTTCTCCTTTTCATGCATTTAGCCATGTTATGACTAATTTCAAGGTTGAACATTTTGCCATTTCGTAATGGGGATAGTAATTTGGTAGATACATATATAGTTGTATGAATTTAATTAGGGATAAATTTGACTACAGGTAGAGCAGGCATGGCTTCATTGCAGGAAAGAACTGATAGACGTGAAAGATGCTGTCAAAAATTTTAACTTGTACATTCCACAGGAAGCAGCCGCTGACTCTGAAACAACGTTCTTAATGAAAAGCAACATACACCATGCAGTTTTAGTTCTTCCTCCTCATGTGAAACAAACATTTTTTGATTGCTTAAGAAAGAAAGGGCTTCTGCTTCGTGCTTCTGGAAAAAAGGCTACCTCGAAAAATTGGTTCATCAACTACTTAGAGTGGCTTTTAGGGTGGCCCGATGCTCCTAGAAGACATTTGGCCAGTGATTCGCATAGGCTAACAACGCCAAGCCCTTCTCCATCTCTAGCTCCAGGGCCTACTCCAGTTATAGCTCCTGGCCCTGCTGCTAAGTTGCCTAGACATCAAGCATCTTCACCCTCACGAACTCATACTACTTTACGTGCTAGTCCAAATCTTGCATCAAAGGATCCCTCGTCGAAAAAGAAAAATCCAACATCAAAGGATGCGAATGCCTCACCAAAAAAGAAAAATCCACCAGCGAAGAATCCCTCATCCGGAAAACAAAAGGCGCCACAAAAGGATAACAGCGGTGTGATTAAACTAATTGCTATTGTTGGAATTGCAGTAGTAACACTTGTCATTGTTGCACTTATCTGTTTCTGCTGTGTGAAGAAAAGGAGAAGCCGAAAAATTGGTCCAAGAAATGGACCAAATGATGACAGGCCTCTTCTCACATTATCCGCTGGTATGTATGCAATTCTCTGATCTCTTGCGCTGATTGATGATGATTTTCTTCGCATTTTGAGGCGTGTCACAATCTTTGAATGCCACAGGTTCTTCTCAGAAGTCTACTAGTTTAGAAAGCTCCGGTAACAAAGAGTTTGGCACTAACGCAAATTTTGTAAACAATATGGCCATGAAAAAAGACAACGAATCTGCACCGGATGATGCAACTACATCAGAAGCCATGGCAGGAGGGTCAATTCCTCCCCTAAAACCTCCCCCTGGAAGACAAGCTCCTCCGCCGCCTGAACCACCAGGTCCACCACCACCTCCTCCTCCTCGTCCTAAAGCCCCACCACCTCCAAAAGTTGCACCTCCACCGAAACCATTGGCCGGTAAGATCAACCGTCCACCTATAGGACCTAATCGCAAAGCAAACAGTGGCGATAGTGGCGATATGGATGCTGAGGGATCTCAAAAGACCAAGCTAAAGCCATTTTTCTGGGATAAGGTTAATGCCAATTCGGATCAGTCAATGGTCTGGCATGAGATCAGTGCAGGATCATTCCAGTAAGGCTTTACTTTCTCTTGATGGATCGAATTTTTCATCCACAAAATTACTTAAAGAAACTGCAATTTAACTTCCAACTTATTTACAGATTCAATGAGGAGCAGATAGAGTCGCTATTTGGTTATAACGCAGTGGATAAAGCTAAAAATGATCGGAAGAAGGAACCATCAGCCTTAGAACCTGCAGTCCAGTATATTCAAATTATTGACAGAAAGAAAGCACAAAATCTTGCAATTCTTCTACGAGCATTGAATGTGACAACGGAAGAAGTTGCTGATGCCCTCCGAGAAGGTGACTCTCTCTGTTTCTCTCGTCGTGAGAAATGTTTCTAGGATATATTCCATTTTGTATGCTCTTTACATGTGATCAACTCTTCATCCTTCGGCGTTTGCCACTATGAAGTTCCATGTTATGTTTCTCCAATTTTGATTCCAAGTACCAAAATATGAGAAGAAATAGAATAAGTCGGGGCCATGTACAAAATAGAAACTACCATGTTTAATCGAATAAAAACTCGATTATCATGTTACGAAGAATAAAAACCTAAAAGGAAAGAACATAACATGGAACCTCAGAAATTAAGAATTCAAAAATACCATGTTTGAATTGAATAAAAACAGGAACTACCATGTTTAATAAGTTATAAAGAACGATGGGCTAGTCTATGTGATATTTCTTATCTGTAACATAGTTATTTCCTTTATTGATTGAGTCAGGTAATGAGCTTCCTGTGGAGTTCCTCCAAACCTTGCTGAAGATGGCACCGACTGCAGAAGAAGAATTGAAGCTTAGGTTATTCACAGGCGATATTGCTCAACTTGGTACCGCAGAGCGGTTCCTCAAAGTCATGGTTGACATACCATTTGCTTTTAAGCGCATGGAGTCACTGTTGTTCATGTGTTCCCTCCAAGAGGACGTTTCTACCACTAAAGAGTCCTTTATAACTTTAGAGGTGAGATACTAGCACTATATCTCTTGAACGATTATAGCCAGTCAAAGAAACCTCAATGTTTCTCTGTTATCTTACTATTCCTCGTCGTAAATGTCAGGTTGCTTGCAACAAACTCAGAAAGAACAGGCTATTCTTAAAACTTTTAGAAGCGGTTCTTAAAACTGGAAACCGTATGAATGATGGCACCTACCGTGGTGGTGCACAGGCATTTAGGCTTGATACACTTTTGAAACTTGCTGATGTAAGAGGCACTGATGGCAAAACCACACTCATGCACTTTGTTGTTCAAGAGATCATCCGTTCTGAGGGTCGAAGAGCTATTCGCACAGCCAGAGAAAGCCGGAGCATGTCAAACTTGAGTACAGAGGACATAGCTGAGGATGTCAATGATGAATCAGAGGAGCACTTGTGTAGCCTCGGTCTTCAGGTTGTCTCAGGTTTAAGCGATGAACTTGAAGATGTGAAAAAGGCGGCACTTGTAGATGCTGATAGCCTAGTGTCGACAGTTGCAAATCTTGGCCAATCACTAACCAAAACTCGAGATTTTATAAATGTTGAGATGAAGAATCTGGATGAAGATAGTGAATTCCAACGCACACTAGTCAGTTTTGTGGAGCACGCAGAATCTGATATTACATGGTTGTTGGAAGAAGAAAAGAGGATAACTGCTCTTGTGAAAAGCACAGCGGATTACTTCCACGGGAACGCAGGGAGGGATGAAGGCATTCGCTTATTTGCGATTGTCCGTGATTTCTTGGTAATTCTAAACAAGATATGCACAGAGGTTCGAAATTCAACAATGAGGGCGGCGAAGAATGCCAAGAAAGAGGCCCGGGCACCAACAACGACAGAAACAACTCCAGAAAATCGTCAAGCACCACCTACAGAGGCCCAGGCACCAACAGCAACAGAAACAACTCCAGAAATTCGTCAACCACCACCTACAGCTATGCGTCAAGTCCCAACAGCGACAGAAACAACTCCAAAAAATCGTCAGCCACCACCTACAGATATGCGTCAACGGCTCTTTCCAGCAATTGCAGAACGGCGGGTGGAGGAGGGTTTCAGTTCAGATGATGAGACCTAGTTTTTTCATATAGAGTAGCTAAAATTTAATTTGGAAAAAAATTTCCTTATGCTTTGGTTGTGTTTGGAAGCAAATTAAAGGTTGCTTGGAGTTCAAGTAATGCAGTAGTGCTAAAACCATGTGTGCAGATGAAATTGGCCTTCAAGTTTTTGTGGCAATTTCTTTGTATCTGTCAAGTACTCCCTATTCTTCATTGTGCTACACGAATTTAGGCAGCATTGAAATCACGAAAGCACAACAACCAGACGGTGGTTCGCAGCATTTCTCCGTCTTTCGAGCACGGGAATTTCATGTTCAAAATCTGTTGGTTGCACAAAGATTGTGTCTTTGCAGAAAGAATACTGGATGAAAGGGCACCCCATGGATCTAATGGCAAATGGGGTTATGTACAGAAAGACTTGTTAATCCAAAAGATCAAAAACACCATTGCTGTTTTTGCCATCTTTATATATACAACATATTTCTTCTCAAAATCCTATTTTACTGCAACTAACATGACATGCCCCGATCCCTATGTCCAAGGGACATCGGAATGGTCACGTGCTGGCGGACACCAGAAGGTGACGCAAGCTATTTAATGAATGCATATGTTGAGAACAAGTAACTCATGCGTATAAATTGCGTTCAAACTACATAAATTGTAGCAAAATAATAGGATGTGACTATTCATTCCTACGTGAAGATACTATCACAATATTAATATTCAACTCCCAACAATGAATCTAATGATAATGCATGACATGTTTACAGCATACAACCAATCCAGAGTACAAACGGAAGGTAAGATAGAGAAGTGCATTACAATAGATGTCAAGCAGAGAGGATGACATGGTATCACTGGTAGGGGAATGTCTCGTATCTTGAATCGTATTCCTCATTCCTATGTCTTGAGGGGGCGCAAAACGAACATGAGTAGATCAAGTTGATATATATATATATATATAATAAAACAGTTATCAACATACTAACTCCAAAGTTTTATGAAAACTAATAGCATAATATGTGATAGGTTTTCCGAAAACCCTAGCATGCCATAAAACCTTTCATAAAACATATATCGTATATAGTGTGCTAATTAGTGGTATCATAATCGCCCCTACATCACCCGACCTAAAGGCCAATATATAAATCTTCAAATCGACCTGATGGCCTATATATAAATTTTCAATCGACTCGAAGGCCCCTACATCACCCGACCTGAAGTCCTATATATCACCCGACCCGAAGGCCTATATATTTCATTACCCGTAAGAAAAACAGTGACCTCTAGATACGCACAAAACATTGAACATACTATTTCCAAACATAAGTACATATATCTCAAAATCATCATCATAACATATAGTCATCCATCGTATATACTATAAAGAAATGTAAAGAAAACATGTTCATAAATAGTATATAGTCATCCATCATATATACTACAAAGAACATAAGTTCGATAAAATATGATATTTCAAAATATTCTCAATATAGCATGATAATCATATAATGTAAATCCAATTTACTTATAAAATGTTTCGTAAAATGTAAAACGTAAATATTAAATCATGCTTGTAAGCATTTCTACTAATAAAACATGCATTTTAGAAGGAGTCCACTCACAAATACTTCGTCGTCAAAGAGTCGTACGAAATAGGGATGACAGAATCGTTGCTAATATTCCCACCTAAGCACATAAAGGGTACAATTGATAAAACTATACTCAAACGATTGAATTTCAGGAAATAGACATCATAAATGGATTCAGGACATCGAAAAACATAAAAATGACCTCGGGTACGGTCATGCGCCACCGCAAGGTGGCAGCTTCGGCGGCGCATGAGGTCCACGCGCCGACACTGCACATGTTACAACCACCCCCCAATTATTGATATTATATGTGGTTTCACCCTAAACCGCCACGTGGCAGCATCCTAACTCTCTCCCTTTTCTCTTTTTCGGTCCCCCCACCCCGTGACCCCTCTTTTCTTCTCTCTGTCCCTCTCCTTCTTCCCTATCCCGTATATCTTTCTCTCTCTTCGAAACTCTTTGCAACTCTCTCATCTTTTCCCTTAGAAACACACCCACACACACCCAACTGCGTACCTGCACGAGGAAATCAACCATTATCATCATCAAACCTCGTCTTTTTCTCTCTCTCATGTCGCTGCACAACTCGAGGAAACCCCGGAGCTCTCCGGCGAGATTTCTTCATTTTTCTGGTTAGGTAAACCTCGGGTCTCTCTCTATCTGTTCTAGATTAAAGCTTGGATGTGATTTTGAGTGTAATCTTGTTAATTTGTAAGGTTTTTAGAACGAGATTGACTCGGAGGAACCCACTTCCATCTCCGGCGAAATCATGGATGTCGAGGGGAATCCGGCCACTTCCCAGCCGATCTACAGCGAACCAAGGGTACTAACCTTTTTCTCTCTCTCTATACTTCATTTTGGTGTGTAGATCAGAGCTTTGGACCTTTGGTTGCAGTCGGTCGGAGCTGGGAAAGCTCCGGCGTGTATCTCCGTCGAACCCAGGCTTTTCAGGCCGTTCTAAACCCTTGGGCCTTAGGCCCGTTGCAGCCCAAACCTAATTCTTTTATTTATTTATTTTATTTATTTATTTTTGTTTTCGGTTTAAAGTAAGGCCTTTGGGCCTTATTTGTTAAGGCCTAAGCCTTTTTAACCTAAAGGCCCTTTTGAGCCATTACATTTAAGGGCTTTGGCCTGTGCCCTTTTGTTGAACCCAAAAACCCTTAGGGCCCTTGGGCCATTTCTGATAAGAGCTTTAAGCTCAAAACCTAAAAACCCAACATCCTAAATCTATTTCCCTAAATCCTCCAAACCCAAAGACCTAAGCCTTAAATTCGGCCCAACCCAAATCCAAGCCTAGTTGACCTTTGACCATTGACTCGGTCAAAGGTCAGCGTTGACTTTGACTTTGACCGGTCAACGTTGACTTTTAGACTTTATTTTTCGGGGTTTCGTCTGGGACCTCTCCTAGGCTAATTTCGACGTTCTGGACCCGTCTTTAAAGTCAGTTTTCCCAAATTCAACCGTTTAAATAGAATTTGACTAAAGGTATTCCTTTATGTGAATAGGTGCAAATATGAACGATGATTCTATTAGTCCTGTTGGTATAGCTTTGCACCATCGGTGTACGGTGAATGGACCCCTTCTAAAATTTACATGATTTTATAGTTCAATTGTATAAATGAATAGCATGCCTTACGAGTTTATGAACTGATTTTATGCTAAGCATGTTTATTGAATTTGTTGATTTTCGTCTTGTGTTTTTGGTGAGGAATTTAATTGTTGGCCTATATTGAGCTATATTTTAATATATCGTATTTTCTATAAAAACCATGAACTGGTAGACTATCTGATGGATGATGATAGGATGCTAGAACATGTTTTAGAAACCCCTCTTTATAGTATACACGATGGATGATTTTATACTATGAAATGGTTATTTATGAGAGGCGTAACTATTTGTGCGTACCTAGTGGACACTATGCAACCTGGGGCGAGGATCTAGTGTTGGCAATTAGGCTGGGAGAAATAATCCCTAGCTACGGGCTGAGGGACACGAAGCAGGCATTGGGCCTGGAGTTGGTAATATCTGGCTACGGGCGTAGAGACCACGGTGTTGGCATAGGGTCGGGAGATATATATTTATTCAGTGATCTTACTAGCAGCACACCGCATTTACGAGACGATACACACAATGATTTATATGATGTTTTTTTCGCATTTTACCTGTTGAGATGTTTTATGGCATGCTAAAGTTCAGAAAACCTATCATTTATTAGGCTAGTAGTTCTCATTATATATAAACCTGGGGGTTAGTATGTTTATAATTGTTTTCGCATTATGTATGTATATGAACTTGGTCCACTCACCCTTGTTTCCCTTTTCAGGATTTAGAATCGAGGCATACGATCCTGACATCAAAGCTTTCGCATTGGCATATTCGAGTCCTCTCGGTGTAGGACTGATGCGAAATATATAAACACACAAATTAAACCCTATTTGTGACAATTGTAGTAATGATGTAAGTAGGGATCGTTCTAACCGGGGATTAACTAGGGGTGCTAAACACTTGACTCAAATAAATAAAACTAACTTTTAAAACACTAAGACAAACCAAAAGACTCAAAACAAGTTCAAAAGACTCCAAATACTTAAAAGCATAAAATAAGATAGATTTGAACGACTAAGACTTTAACAAAATATGGGGGGGGGGGGGAAATTGAGTTGTTTTTGACGAGATTAAATTAAATGGACAGATTATAATTAAGGGCAAAATGTAAATATGAATGGAATGAAAAATATGGATGATGGAATAGCTTAAGGGGTTCTTCTCCACACATGTCACACTTGCAATACAAGATCGATTCTCAGTTGGTCTTTCGATAAATTATGAAACTCAACACCCTAGGTTAATTAGGTCCGCTTAAATTAACCGTCAAGTTCTCCTTAAGTTAATGAATTGGATGGGTTTGCGCGCAACGCAATTCACAACATTCTCCAAAAGTCCTTTACGTGAAAAGCACAATAAAGATACAATCAAAGATCATTAAGCATCATGAAAACTATAAGTGTTGACGAGGCATTCGTTACTATGAAAAGCATGAAACTAGTGCCAAGAATTCATTTAACGCGATTGTTTATAAGCAACCTCCACTACTTGTGAATATAAGTTCATAACGATTAGGTGAAACTCACTTATATTCTAGCGTCATATTTATGCATGAAAATTAAGCGTGCACTCTCAATAAACATACATAAATAAGTTATCAATCAAACGGTTAAACAAATTGAATCCACAACTTATGAAATTCCAACCAAAGATAATCAATTCATATTGCAAGCATAAACATAGTTTCGAATCACCCCCTAGCTAAAGGGGGGTTTAGTTCCTCATACTTGCAAAACAAAGATACATAAAATTAGACATTGAAATCAAAGATAGAAAACACCTAGAAACGCTCCAACACTCCCAAGGCTTGGGCTTAGGCACGGCACAAGATGTTCCTTCTCCTTCCTTACTTGCAAGCTGCGGCACTAGAAGTTTTGGACGGTTTTGGGTGGTTTTTATGGTGTAGAATGGATGGGGA